TTTGATCGCAAACATCAACTTGTCTTCAATCTGTTCACACATCCTCTTTCACTTTTGAACAACGTATTCACTGGAAATATATGCATTGAAAAAATGTCTACTTATCATCTTACTTTTCCACGAAATATTACTACTTTCTTTTTGTCATCACTGAAATTCGTAACATACAGTCACGATCTTAGTAATTAGTACGCTCTGAGATAGTGAATCCATACTGCAGCACTAGTTCTATGACTCTGAAATTTTCAGAAGAGACTGACCATCTCATAGAAACTTTCTACTAAAATGTTCAAATAAATTTGTCATTAAAAAGTTAGCATTTGCTCCTTAACAAATATTCTTAATCAAAAGATAATATTTCTATTATTTTAAGGTGATTTGTAAACGAAATTTGAACTAGAGATACTTATGACATTAATCTGTCGAATGAGGGATTGAACGAAAAATATTTCGTATTAACATAAATAAAAAAAAAAAATAATTCAAAGTGATTGATTAACCTTCATTTTCAGGTAGAGGCAATGGTTCAATATTTGTTGTATTAATAATTGGATTCTTTATTGATTGTTTTTGTGGTTGTTCATATCGAACATCAACTGGATTTCTTTCAATAAAAACTGATGATGTTGTTTGTATTTTATCCGTTTGTTGTTGAGTATAATTTCTTTGAGATTCAATATATTGTCTAATACGTTGATTTTTATAACCATTTAAATCATTCATTGCATCATTAGCAATACGAATACATTCCATATAATTTGAATCAGGTATTGCAAGTTTTTTTTCAACTAATTGTTCATTTATTGAATTAACTGATGTATTCATATCATATAATATAATAGGTAATGATGAATCACCAAGTCTTTAAAATAAGAATATTAAAAAAAAAAAAAAAAAAAAAAAAAATTATTTTGTTTTTTTTTACTTTATTGTTTGTATCGATGTATTTAATGAATAAAATCGAAATGTTTTAAAACCTTTTCCACCAATAAAACGATTCATTAAATTAATAGCTTCACGTGACCAATCTTCATTAATTGAATGTATTAAACCTAATGAACATTTAATAGCTTGTGCTGGATATATTTGATATTCAGATATAAGTTCATATATTGATGATTCTTGTATTGTTATATATTCACCAAAATCAAAACAAAGTACAAGAAGTGTTTTATGTTCACGATCATGATTTATAATTTGTACACGATAAAAACGTTGATCACGATTATTTCGTGCAACACCTAATGAATTTATTGAAAAATTTTTTAAACGTGCCATACGATCACATGATATACGTTCAAGATATGTTTCATTAACACTATTATAAATTTGTTCGAAATTATTTTTTTCTGTTAATTGTATAAAAAAATGTGTTGGTGATGTTATTGATGTTATTGTACATGAACCAATATTATCATTTAAATTTAAATTAATTGATGGAAGATCACTTGAACGAGAAATTCTACCAGATGAATTTGATGAGATTTTACCCTAGAATAATAATATATTGTATGTATTTCAATTCTCATTCTTTTAAAAATCTATTTAGCCTAATTTTGTGTGGGATTAAGGGCCCCCCCCCCCCCATACCTCAAAAAAAAAAGCAATTTGCTCCAAAAATAACGATTTTTACATTTATAGCAAGTTAGAAAGCCCATCATCTCCTCCTCCTAAACCCCT